CACAACGCCTGGCCATTTTTTGGTTGCAGCCATCATTGTTGTTTGGCGGGCCCGGGCTGGGGATTTGAACCCGCCATCTTAGGTGTATGTGGCTGGCGCCTTAGCCGCTTGAGCCACAGGCGCCGAGCCACAAACCTAATTTCTAATGGTCGGCTTTTCAATTTCTTTTTAAAAGACAAAGACTTGGAGGTTCTGATCAATATTTTGTGGTTATCCCACTCCCATAAAAAGCAGGAAGAAGAAAAGATTAACCAATTTTAGAAAACTAAATTCTCTTTTTCTTTTTTTTTTGAGACAGTTTTACTATGTCACCTTTGGTAGACTGCTGTGGCGTCACAGCTCACAGCAACCTCAAACTCTTTGGGCTTAAGCTATTCTCTTGCCTCAGTCTCCCGAGTAGCTGGGACTCCAGGCGCTTACCACAATGCCCAGCTATTTTTTTGTTGCAGTTGTCGTTGTTTAGCTGGCCCAGGCTGGGTTTGAACCCGCCAGACTCAGTGTACGTGGCCAGTATCCTAATCGCTGAGCTACAGGCACCAAGCCTAAAACTAAATTCTTATCTCTGCCCCAGATTAGGAGAGAAACTGATAGTTTTACCAGGATCTGATTTTCAACAGTAGAGCCTCTATAACTGGACCCCTTGTTAACAAATTGGTCAACACGTGGAGGCAACCAACATAATGCACATGTGGTGCACGTCTGGCCTATGAAAATTAGCTCAACTCATGGAGGTGGTCAGTGTAGGGTGGTTCTACTGTATTTTTGCTACAGATCAATTTCCTACCCATTGCTACAATCGGGAATGAGTAAAGGGCTGTACTGACATCTGATGGCTGATCTGCATCTGTGAGCAAAATATGACCAGACCCTTCACTTTCCCGGTCAAGATTCTCATGGTCTTGCGGGAATACAGCCCTCGGAGGCTCATTTAGCCATATGTTTCTTCCACCTTTCTTTCTTGTTGGCTTGGCTGTTTTACCACCTCTACCACCACAAAGCTGGGGCCATTAAACGATGTGCATGCTCATGGCCGCCACTAATCAGCACTGACCAGCCCTGCAGGGTCACCTGTGCTGCAGTATTTGCATCAAAGTGATGACATGCCTCAGAGAATGGAAGAAGGCATGATAAAGAGCCTGGGAGATATTCTGTTTTAAGTCACATATAGAATAAATATAAACCCTAGAGTCAAAAGGAGTTAAAAGTAACATTACCCCAAGGATCTGAGAACAAAAGTAGAACATCTTTCTTCCCCCAAATACTATGGTTTCTACTGCCCACTGTTGGGATGCTCTCCATTCATGCACATCCCTCCCTACAGCCTGGTTTCTACAGTGGGAGTCACTGCTGGCAAGAGTGACTGTCACGGTAGAAGGCAGGCCAAGAGCCCAATCAAATTGTGAGAGCATCCGTCGTGCTCTCATGTCAAAGTCCTGCTGCATACATTGATGTAAACCATTGCAAAATGATTTTAAGTGACACAAGTTGACGATGTTGTGACATCATAGCATGTTTCAAAGGCACCTCTGCACAATGAAATAATTCTATTTTAAGAACAGTACAATTTGGATGCTGTGCACAATCAGGAGGTCTACGCTCTTCTGTTGCACTGTCCACAGCAGCTAAACCTGATAGTAAAAGGCACAGTTCTACCTTCTAAGCATGGAAAGGAAGTGTAGGGCGTTCGGATCTGTGAGCCAGTGAGTCCGTCCAGTGACTACTGCTTTAAATATTTACCAAGAATCCTTTTACTCTCCCTTCTGAAGCAGGACAAATAGAAAGCTGCACACATCTGAGTAGTTTAACATCAGGGAAGTCTTCTTTGGGAAGTAAAGAGCCAACCACGGAGAAATCCCGTACGTTCTCCAATGACATAGGCAATCGACAGCCCCCAAATATATTTTCTCCTCGGTTTAATCTGGAAATTTCAAGCTGCTATGTACATGGCTGACAGGTTTCTAAACCACACAAGCACTTGCACTGCTTTGAAATGAAGATACATTTCAGATGGTAACTAGTTCACCATCTCTAAAGAACACTATTCCTATCAGAGCTGGGGATAAAAGCCATGTGACTGGAGAAACCACCCTGACCCTAAGAAGGAAGAGGTTCTTCCCTGGAGAAGCGGCCTCCCTGGTAGTTACTGGGGCCCCGTCATCCCCCAACTCTGTACCCAATTGTGTACTTGGGTACCAGCTGTTTGTGCGAAGATGGAAAAGAGAGGAAAATAACATCTTTTTTCATGCAGAGCTGAGGGGCTGCGTATCAGAGACAGTAGTAAAGGTAAGGAGGAGACTGGGGCCTCTCAGGCGACTCGGCCCAATCCTGGGGCAGCCGAGACTGTGCTCTTGAGAGCAGAGGAGCACGTGCTAGGGATGGCTGGGCTGGCAGGGAGCCACACCTGTCCTTCCTGGGGATGCCCATCAGGGATCAGAATTAGGCCTTGTGAAGGTCAAATGCAACAGCTGACAGGGACAAATTTCCTAAACATAGAGAAAACAGCGAAGAATGCCAACCTAAAAGTGAACAGATTTAAAAAGTCTAATTACACACAGGATGAGGATGAATTCAGGAACTGTGTAAACAGCAGACAGGGCTGCGAGCTCTACAGAATCTCTCTCCAGACAGTGGCTCTCCTTGAAAATGAAACTAACAGCAAGCCAAAGAGATGAGGAAAACTCAGTCTAATGTATTTCTAACATTTTAAATACAGACTGCAAAAATTAGATTGTTTTATGTGCCACACCCTTAATATATCACATCTCATAGATAAATCGCACCTCCAAAAATCCTGAAAAAGAGAATATCCCCATTTTACAGCTGAAAAAAATTAAGTGATTAAGTGATTTGCCCAATGTCACCCAACAAGCATATGGCAGGTCTCAGGCCTGTCTAGCAAGGCTTTTTGACAGAGAACCATGCCTTGTGATTTTAAATACCACTTACATAGAGGAAGATCCAGCAAACTTTTTCTTAAAGAGCCAAATACTAAATATTTTCGGCCTTGTGAGCTACACAGTCTCTGCTGTGACTGTTCTGCTCAAGTGCTGAAGCTGCCAAGGGCATTATGTGAATGAGTGAGCATGGCGGGTCTCCAATAAAACAGGATGCCTGTTTGCCCTCTGATTCATGATTTAGGACAATAAAGAACAGAGGTTGGTAAACTTCAGCCCTGCACCAAACCCATCCCACCGCCTTTTTGTGCAAACAGAGCTTTATTTAGGATCTAGAATCCAGCCTATCACCTACACTACTTCTAGACAGCTAATGGGTAATTCATCAAGCTATAACCATGCCCTAGTTTCACAGACACATTCTCGGGAACAGTCGGTGCTCTCTGTCCTAATCTTCCTTCACAAACAATGTTCTGATTCCTAAGCCAGCCCCCGCCCCCTCCCCCCCAAGGTGGGAGAGCCTTGATCAACACCTGGTGGCCTGTTAGTGGCCTCTCATTGTAAGGAACAGAAACATTCTTCGTCATGATCTGTGACTCAGTTTCTGGACGTCTCAGTACCCTTGGGGAGCTGAAAAACCAAAAAAAGGAGATTCTTAACCTGAAAAGATGGTGACCAAAAACTGAGCTTGTGGTGACATGACATTAGTTTAAATAGAGCAAATCTTCACTGTTGTTTATGAAACCCAAAGACCTGAGCTAGAGCACAACCCATTTTCAAGTTAGCAGACTGATACCAACAGTGTTACTTTGACAGCTACTATAACAAAGAGCCCCAAGACAAGGAACTCAGGCTTCTGGTCTAATAACAAACCACGGAGCAGAACCTACAAGCTAGGCAAGGGCAGGGACTGTGCCAGGCACCAGGCTAGATGTCCAGCAACAGGACTCCAGAAATATCTGTTGCTTGTATCACCACAGATTACCTCCATGGCTTCTGACAAGCTGAAGTATGAATGGTCCAGCCTGAAAGTGAGACTTCCTAACTCTCACGCTGACAAGATCAGATTCTCCATACCTGGATTGTCTGGTAATCAGAAGCATCAATGCCTTTCACAGTTACTTCTCGAAAAACTCTTGGCTCCAGTTCCTCTTTGGTAAGATCACAGTGATAAATGATACCTGAAAGGGAGAGGAAGTCTTGGTTTAGCTCGCAAGACTCGCTGGATGAAGACAGGTAAGGACCACAGACACAAGCAGATGGCAGGACGGCAAGAGAGGAGCAGAGTCAGGGGTCTGGTCACTCAGCACTGCAGGGAGGCTCCCCACCAGGTCCTCTGGCAGGGGAGCGCCACCTAAATGCACTCTTCACCATCACCAGTTCACGTGGCTTTCCTCCCTACAATACTCATCTGTGTATCCGCTTTAGAAGATTCAAATGCATTCTGAATATGAGAAAGGTGAAAAGGAAGCCCACCAAGGATCAGAATTAGGCCTTGTGAAGGTCAAATGCAATAGCTGACACGGACAAATTTCCTATACACAGAGAAAACGGCAAAGAATGCCAGCTTAAAAGTGAACAGATTTTTAAAAATTACAGAAACTTAACAGGTCTTCCCCTAGCCAGGTCACATAGGAGGTCAAAGAATACGGTTCACTTAGGGCCATTTTATCTGGGAGGGAATTGACAGAAAATTTAAATGATTTGCCCAAGGTCAAGAGCCAGTGGTGGTGGTGGTGGGGTTTCCTGACACCTGACATCACCCACATGTAGACACACTTGTGGACACCAATCAGGGACCGAGGTGATTGACAGTCATAGCAAAACTGCTTTTTCAGTTCTGATTATCCCAGTAATTATGCACAACACAAAATGATTAATATGCACCATGAATTCCAGCTTATTTAACACTAATTAAAATTCCATTTCCTGAATTTAATGCTACTACTTCTTTAACATTTAAGAACTAAATCAAAGAAACAATGAGACAAGTCATTAATGTTTGAAAACAGTGACACCGCTGTGGTTTATGAAGCAGAATTAGTCATCTGCAGAGCGGCTGGTGTGGAAACAGCATTTCCCCACCTAATACTTAAAACATATTGCTGTCAAGTATATGAAAAATTGATTTAGTGATCCCACCAGTACTTGCGAGAAAACCAAAAACCAATGGCATTCCCACAGGGCACATTTACATGGAGTAATCACATATTAGAACGGCAGCCCTTTCTCCTCAACTCCTCGAGTACACACCTCCCTAACCACCGAGGAGCAATAACACTCTGACCCCTGCCGGCTCGGAGGAAGTACACTGACATCTGTTAACAGCACCGCTGCTGATCTTTTTTTGAATGCTATTTCAGTTCTCATGCTTACAAACTATTTTAAGGTTGCCATAATAGGCTGTATGATCAACACTGACAGAAAAAAGATACATAACATGAAGTGCTGACTTTCTTAGTTCAAATTATACTTGGATATTTGTTAGACTGCATTGTTA